CCACCTGCTGGCTCTTCATTTTAATTACTATATTTTAGGTCCAGAATTTCTGTTTGATTCCTTTTAAAAATTTCTGTCTTTTTCTTGATATCTGGATTTGATGAGATACCCTTTCCTTTAGTTCTTTGTGTATGCTCTTGGTGAGGATATTTTAAATAATTGTTTTAAAGTCTTTTTCTAGTAACTCCAATATCTGGACTTCTTCAGGGATAGTTTCTGTTCATTTTTTTTCTCTGTGTGTGGACCGTACTTTCCTGTTACTTTGCATGCTTCATAATTTTTTGAGAAGTAATAGACATTTTAATGTATATGACCGTTGATTTTCCTACTTCCTCAGGGTTAATTTTTGGGGCTTGTTGTGGTTGATGTTGTTTATTTAGTGACTTCTCTTAACTAATTTTGTAAAGTGTATATTATTTGATATGGTACCCTTAAACACTTAGAACCAGAAATATAGATGTGAATAAATAAATATATCCCAGTATTTGCCAGTGGGCTCTTATATATTACGTTGAGGCATGCCTTCAACACTCAGGCCATTACCAACTCTTCTAAGCCTTTGCCTTCTGCTTATGCAGATAGGGAATTGAGCAAGAAGTAAGAACCTAGGGACTTCTCAGATCTTTCTGAGCTTATGTTCTTCCCTGGGCATGCACATGGCCTTCTAGTTTCCAAAGAATACATAGAAGCTTTCCAGAGCTTTATTTCCCCTAAGTGTCTTACTCCCCAGTCTTTCCTATTAAGCTTTTCGATGTATCCTTTATTTGTCCCCAACTTCTAGCCCCTGCCCTATTCAACACTAGCTAAGCAAGTTTGCTTTTACATGTTTTTGACAAATGCTCTTTCTGTGCCTAGTGAGTTTGGGAAAGTAGAGACCAACCCTTCACATAGTCTGTCAGGGAGCCAGCAGGCAGGTCAGAACAACCAACCACAGTTTTTTGAGAACAAGGATGACTCCGCTCCCTCCAACATCAGGAACCTACCCCAATAACAGGCTGGAATCAAGACCCTTAGTGAGAATCAGTTGTCTTTCTCTTAGTGCTTGCATGATTGCTGTAAAATTTAACTAGTCTTTAGAGTTCAGATAAAGTTAATTATGACTGAGACTGGCAGGTGGCATGGTGGTTAAGGGCGCTGGACTCCCACATGACCCACCACAGTTCAAGTTCCAGATCTGGCGGGTTATTTTCTCACCTTCTCTCTCTCACTGTCACTCTCACTCCATCACTCTCTGGTCAAATTTAAGTAAATAAATAAAGTTAAATAAAAGAACTCTTTTTAAAAATAGAAAGTTAATTCTATTTTTGCCAGAATATTCTCTATTTTTGTGGAGAGACAAGCTGGTGCAATTTCCTACACAGTTGTTTTTGTTGATGTCTCATCACATTGTTTCAGTTTTGATGAACCTGTTATTTTCTGCTCCTCTTTTTACCCCAAAAGTGATATAGCTCTTCTTCACAGAGATCATCTAAGTGTTAAGATAATTTCTATTTATCTTACAAAAGAACCATATCACATTTAGAAGGAAAAACCCTGGCAAATGAATCCAATAATCCTGGCAAATGAATATCTTGTTATCAAAAGTGTTAAAGATAGCTAATTATCGGGACCAGCAGTTAGCGTAATGGCTATGTCGCTGGACTCCCATGTAGTCAACTGTGGTTCCAGTCCCGGGCCCAGTGGCTTAAACTCATGCTGGGCACATGTGCGTGAGTGCCCAAGATCACAAGAGAAGAATGGAGGAGAAGGGATTGCTGCATGGCCTTCCCCCCTGGGGATTGATTTCTCGCTTCCTGTCTGTCTGTCTCTGTTTTTCTGGCGAGCGTACACACCCTATAGGAAAAAACCTGTACAAAAAAAAAAAAGATAGCTAATTATCTATAACCCTATTTTAAAACTCTCTACACGCTAGCAAGAGAAAAGGTCTACTCCACTAAATATGGGAAATGCATCTGGTAACATTCAGATCTTTAATAGAAATGTAATGTAAGATGTGTTAAAAAATCAAGCATAGGGGACCAGCAGGTGGTGTGGTGGTTAAGGTGCTGGACACTCCCACATGACTGACCATGGTTCAAGTCCTGTACCTGGTGGCTTGCTTTCTCACTTCTCTTTTTTCTCTCTCTCTGTCAACTTAAAAATAAATGAATGAATATATTTTTAAAATTTTAAAAAAGAAACAACCATATATATCAGAGTTTTTACTCTTAAAATTCCAATTGAGTATGTTCATATTGTATTTACCTGGACATGTTCCACATATGGGTTGTTGGAAAAGTCATGACGCATTTTTGCATAGAAAAACAGAAATGTATGTCATGAATTTTACAGTGGCCCAATAGCTTACTAGATCAACAAGAAAGCAGTAGTTATTCTCATTGCCTTTTCAACCTACAGCCTCTTACGAAATTACTCAACCCAAATCTGGAGCTAAACAGCCAATGTAGAGAGTTCTGATTCAGAAGCCACATTTTCTAGGTTTGAATTCTATTTTCATCTATGTGCCAGCATTATGAACTTAAGCAAGTTACTTAACCTCTCTCTGCCTCATCAACCTCATCAGTAAAATGGATCTGATAAGTTCTATCATTGACTTGTTATGAGGATGAAATAAGTTAGATTCATTAAGTACCTAAAATAAAATAAATACATAAGCCGTTTCAGGTACAACTTGAGCAGAGATTGAAAAAATCTCCCAAGTTTTTAAGCTATACCTACTTAGGGTACAGATTATTGGTGAAATAAATCTACTGGGTGGATTCTCAAGAGAAAAACAGTTAAGCAAAGTTTGTGTGTAGCCTGAGACCTGTCCCTTAGGCAGGAGAGAACTGTCTATCTGTATTTGAGTCTATGTCACCAACAACATGAAGTTGGTAAATTGCTAGAGTAAAATAAATCATTATTCTCTAATGGAAAATTTAGCTTTAGATTTATTAAATTGGGATTACATCATAAAGTTATTCCAAAATTAGACTTTACTAAAGTATAAAGATCTGGGGGACCAGAAGGATAGGTCAAAATGCTAGGTGATAAGGCTAAAAAGATGGGTAAATAGGAGTGATGAATGTACTTGAGAGCTATAGGAAAGCCACACACATTTACATCCGGGGTTCCTACTGAGCCAGAAAAATGAAGGATTGGGGCTAGGATGGAAAGGCTAGAAGAAGAGAAATGCCTTAGGTGACTACTAGTCATTTTTCTTTTCTTTCTTTTTATTTTTTCCTTTTAAAATTTTCACTAGAGAGTGTGTTCATTCACCAGAGAGAGAAGGAAAGTGAGAAAGCACCTCCTATAGGGAATGGTTACACTGCAGTCTCCTCTCCATCTTTCTTCCATTTGGGGTTTTTGGGTATTCACACACACATGCCTGGCGTTTTTCAAGCTGCCAGGTCTGGGACTCAAACTGTGTAGCTGGCCTTGTGGGATCAAGCCACCTTCATCACCATGCCACTGGCTGGCCCGATTTTTAAGTAAGTCGTAGATGTTCTAATAATGAGCATACATTGCTTTTAAAATGGAACCAACTGTCATATAAGCTTTTATTTTGTAAAAAATCTACTTTTGGGATAACTTTCTTTATGATATAGTCCCAATTTAATAAAATTTAAAACTAAAATTTCAGTTAGAGAATGGTGATTTATTTGACGCTTGACCTCTGTTCACTGAAAGGTCCATCAAAGATTTCCGTTAATTAATCAACTTTTCTACCACACATGTTACCTATAGTCTAATGTAGGGAACACATCAGTTTCATTAAGCAATTTAGAATGAAAATTACAACCTGCAAAATTTAGTCTGCTAATTTTTTAACTCCACATGTCACAAAATTAGTCATACCCAGGGGTAGGATATTAGCCTAGAGCAATAAGCCTGAGAAAACTGATAATGGAAATAATGGTTTATAAAGGAAAGCTTGACAGGTTAATTATAGTCTCACTTAGTCGGTCTCCAACTGTATTTCTTTAACAACTATTTAGTCCCAGGTATATACATTTTTGTGTTTTTTTTTTTTAATTATTTGAGTATTTCAGCAAAGTAGTTATAGGAATTAATTTGACAAGTAGTCAGCTATTAAAGAGGAAATTTAATAAGCAACTTTTCTATGCTTTGCCCCTGTATGAATATGTTATTGGATTATCTTTTAAACTCAATGGAGATAAAGTTTTTAACTTAAGCAATGTGTTCTTTGTGTTTTATACTGGCCATGTCAAGTGACAATCTCTGATTTTACCTGTGCACACAAGGTTACATAAAATGTAATTTTAACATCCACTTAATCTCAAGTACTGAACCATAGCGATATTTTAAATATATTTAAACTGTATCAGTAATATGTAAATACGGGGCAGATTTATTTCTACAAACCAGACTAGGAAATTGGACAACATTGAAAACACCTTTTAAAGTACTTTTAAGAAAATGTTAAGTATTATATACATGACTATTTCTAATTACAATTATTTTGGATAAATGTAAATTTAACTGCCTTCAAATTGGCATTTTTTTGACATATGAAATTGAGATTCTTCAGGTTGTTTCTAGATGTTAGATTTAATATAAATAACAGTAAAGAAACCACATATGGTAATTCTTGGATTCAGAAATCAGCCTTAAGATTCTCAAATACATGAAGACTTTCTTTGAAGACACACCAATGTATTAATTTTTAATTTGTTTCTTTTTGATCTCCTAATTGCTGAAAAAGATTTATTGGTTAATTTTAGGAGGCAAGTGTTTGAAAAGTTTTGCCAAATACTGTCTTCTTTAAATGATTGTACGGTAATGAAAAGTTAAGAAGAGAGCCAAATTAGATTGAATAATTGTTCAGTCATGTGGGTTAGGCTGGTTGCACAGCCTGGTTGTTAAGACTGATCGCTCAAATTACATTGCCTGGGGTCCTGCACTTGGTTGGCTGTCTTCTCAGATCTTAACAAGGTTCTGGGAATTTCTTTTTCTGACAAAGTTTGCTTTGTATTTCCCCCCTCCCCCACCACCTCCAGGATGCTTCTTCTGCAGACATCAGAAAAGCATATCGTAAGCTTTCACTAACTTTACATCCAGACAAGAATAAAGATGAAAATGCAGAAACCCAGTTCAGACAAGTAAGTAAAAACATGCTATTATGTATATGTTTTGTGACAAGTGTACTGATAAATATGTTTATGGTAGAAATGCTAACTTACATGTATAATATTTCTATGTGAAAATAAGGTAGTAGTTTAAAAAGATATGTATGTTTTTTTCAAGTTCTTATAAGATACACATTTACCATTTTTGTATTAGTATCTCTAAATTCTTGGAGGGTTATAATTGTTATAATTTTATTATCTAAAGTACAGATTTTGCTTTTTAAAGGTACATTTTAATATTCATTTTGATATCAAGCATTTTTTCTTTAACTTATTAAAATGCTAACAAAAACATAAAATGTTTATAATTAAGATCTTATTGGTTTTTTACAAGATTTCTTACAGTTAAGAGTATTTTTATTTTAAAGTAATGCTTCTATTTTAGTTGGTGGCGATTTATGAAGTTTTAAAGGATGATGAACGAAGACAGAGGTGAGTATTCATGTCTGCTTTTGAATTACGCTTTATGGTTTCATGCTACAGTTTATAAAGACAGAAACTGTCCCATTAAACATTTTATCTATTATAAGTTAGTATTTTATTTTTGTTCCTTCTAAGAAGTGCTATGTTTTAAAAATATATATTTAGAGCAGAGTTCATTTCTATTGAAAATATTTACTAGGCTGATTGATTCAGTACTTGTAGACTTCAGGATCATGAGTCATGACATTAAAACGAGTCCTCGCCTCATTAGCTAAGATTTTTAGCATACATGTTTATGCCCTGGGGAATACAAATACCAGTTTGCTTCAAACTAATGTCCATTCTTTTTGATATATCAGTAATAGCTCATATCTGTGCTCCGTAGTATTTTTTCCCAGTTCCTTAGATGTTTGGAATTAAGCTGTTAGTGTCAAGTAAGTACCCTTTCTTGATGTTCTCTCACTCTCAAATAATAGATCCAATTATGTAAGCTTATAAAAGCCTATAGAAGATAGGGTTAGAAGTAGTCATTTTTCCCCCTATTTCTTTTGCCTCCTCCCCTTCTTTGCTCAGCTCCAGTGAGTCTGCATTTAGAGTTAGAGCAGAGGCAGCCCTTCAGTCTAAGCCTAATAATCGATGCCTCTTTCAGAGCAGTGGTATATGTTTATATGTAGTGGTTTACAGTGCCAGTGACTTCAGACGGGGTTGCAGAGAGGCCCCTTTCCTCCACTCCTATAGAATGTGTGGAATGTAGACACCATTGCAGTAGGCTTCTGAGTTTTTTGTCAGACCACAGTTAAAAAAAATAATAATACATTTTGTGTCATGCCTTGGGGCACACACACAACACTGAACAAAAGTTTCACAAAACACTTCTTCCTGTCTGTGAAACAGACTATTTTCTATTCTATTTTTTTAGACAACGCTGGTTTGGGCCACTAAATTGATTTCCTGAGGCACTTAGTGGGCTATAATCTGAAATTATAATGTTGCTTTGGAAAAAACGATAACCTGTAAGAAGAACAAAACTAACTAGGCACGTGAGACTTAAGCAAAAGTCAGTCTAAATACCTGTGTCTCTCTATAGGGGCTAATACATCTTAAAGATAATCCAAAACATTACGCTATCTGACATTCTAAATATTTTTTCAAACGTATTATCTGAAATCATTCTGTATCCTAAAAGATTAGCTATACTGCTCTTGGATCTCATCTTACCTTTCTAATTTGAATACCGCAGTTTGTCAAATTGCAAAGCAAGGCTTCACGATATTCTCTTGAAGTGTTCTTTACTTTATAACAAGGACTGGCATTGATCCAGATACCATAGCAGACATTCCTCTGGTTTGAGATAATCCACAGTGTTGAAAGAGTCCTAAAAGTGTGTTGAAAGAAGTATTGGTCATTCTATGCATATTTTCTATTTGATTTCGCTCAGTGAGCCGCTAGTTTTATTTCACACATCAAGAATGTCTCTGGAAAGATAGCTTCCAACATCTTTGGCATCACATTTTGTCGTTTTCTTTGTTGTTATCATAAAAGTCAATAAACTTTGTAATGATTTTCTTCAGATACTGTTATTATTTACCTTTTCAGAACAAATTACTTTTTCTGTATAAATTGCTTTTTCATTAACATAGATTCATCCAACATTATCTCTTTAGGATTAGTTCCCTCTGCCTTTATTTTAGAGTGTTGGTAGGAAAAATGAATCTGACTGTTACACAAACAGCTGAGTATTTATACCCCTTGAGGCACTAGTAACTCTTTGGTAACTGGTTTTCCTTGAGGCAAAAGTCTTAACTAATCAAGCTGAGAATCACTCCTCTAAAGCTTGTGCCTGAGGCCAGGTGACCTATGAGTATTTAAACATGTCAGAGAAAGGCATTTCTACAGACAATTACCTAATGTTTATCTCTTGCCCTTAGAAAAGGAACAAAAAAAAAAAAAAAAAAAGAACTCCCTCAGCTTTATTTTCTAAAAGAAGATATCTTATATTAGTATTTAAAAAAAGCTTCTTTGTATCATAATTAGTTATTATAAATACTCATTGAATTCATACTTTTACATGTAAAAACCTTCTAAGAATTTGTAATTTGTAAAATGGAAAATTGTCAGAGATGTTTCCTATTTTATTTCCCTCACATATGATTGTGTTTTCAGTGAAATCAGATTCTTTACATTTCAGTGGAAAAGGAAATAGCAAATATGTAAATTAACAAACTGGATAGCCTTTTTTTTTTAAAGGAAAAGGCAAGCCTTATTTATTAACAACCTTATTTAGGATAAGTTGCATAATATAAGTCATTAATTTTAAGTGTAAAGTTCAATGATTTTTAGTAAACTTACAGAGTTATACATACTATATAGTCCACTTTTAGAACATTTCCATTGCTTAAAAAATTCCCTCAAGACCATTTGCAGGCAATCCCCACTCTGATACCCAGCCCCAGGCAACTGATCTATACTTTAATGTGTCTATAAGTTTGTCTTTTCTGGACATTTCATATAAATGGAATCATTCTATATACTGTTATTTTTTATCTGGCTTCTTTAAATAATTATTTCTGAGGTTCACCTAAAATGTAATTTAGGGCCAGCCAGTGACATGATGGTAAAGGCAGCTGGATCCCACATAGCTAGCTAACTGTGTGATTGGAGTCCTGGACCCAGTGTCTTGAAAAAACACACCAAGCGTGTTTATGCCCAAAATCCTAAGAGGAGAATAGAGGGGAGACTATAGTCTGGCCATCCCCATGGCAGGGGAGGGGGGACGGTGGGGGGTGATTACTCACCTTCCCTCTCTCACTGTGTGTCTCTGGCAAGTGCATGCTCCCTATAACCAAAACTTTTTAAAAAATAAAAAGGTAGCATATAATAGCCATTCTTTTAATTACTGAATAGTATTCCTTTCTATGGATATCACTTTTTATTTATTTATTCAATTGGTATGGACATGTGGGTCGTTTCCACCTTTTGGCTTAATAAGCAATGTTACTATGAACCTTCAGATATAAGTCTTTGTGTGGACAGATGTTTTTATTGGTCTTAGATAGATTCTTAGGATTGCAATTATAAATAACAATTCAAATTTCTTCCAAACCCCCACAAAGACATAGACTATAGCATGAAAATAACAAGCTTCCCTGGTTAGTATAACATAGCATAGCAGCATTTTCAAAACTCCTTATCTAACATACTTATTTTGGGGAACAGTTACCCAGATACGTTCTAACGTAAATTTTTTATTTGTTTTTTAAGATAGATTTTTGCTATAGGGCATGTGCACTCGCTGGGAAGACAAGAAGAAAGAAAGAGAGAAATCACCCACCATGGGGATGGCCGTACCACAAACCCTTTTCCTCCACTCTTTTCTTGGGATTTTGGGCACACACGTACATGCACCTGGGGTTAGTTTCAAGCCACCGGGTATGGGATTCGAACCGCATTCAGCCAAGGGGAGTCCAGTGCTTTAACCACTGCACCACCTGCTGGCTCTCTCAACATAAGGTTTTATGCTAATTCCCTGAGTGTTAGCTGATCTAAAGTCCTGAGTATTAGTAATATAAATATACTATGTGATGTAACATTATATATTTATATTTGTTTAAAATATAAGTGTTTAACCAATTTTCTCTTGCTAACCTTATTAAATAACTTCAAAGGGTTTTTTTGGGGGGGGTCTGTTTTATGTTACTACATTTATAAAAGTTGAATGTATTTTCTAATTCACTAAATAAAAGAATGTTTTGTTTATAATGCAGTTAAAAATATAGTTATCTCAGCCTAAACTTCTATAAATCTTTATTAGTTATTAGAAATTTGAATATAAGTGTGTTTGAATCAAAATAAGCATTGATCTGAGAATAAGAAATCTACTTTAGCAACTTAAGATATTATCCCTATTTTAATTTTTCATGTAAAATGCTATTTACCACAACTTTTGGCATAAAACACAACTTTTGGCATAAAAAAAAAGTGAGGCCCATTAATTTAGACCTGTTTTCTGTTTATGATCTTCGTACAACTTTTTTTTACTCAAAGTTTCAAAATGTGACCCAAATGGAAATTATGATTGTTTTAGGCTAAAAATTCAACCTTTGTATCATGGGAAAAGTCACAATTTAGGCAAATGCTAGAATTATTTAAATATTCATTTTTAGGGACCAGCAGGTGGTGTGGTGGTTAAGGTGCTGGACACTGCCACATGACTGACCACGGGTCAAGTCTCAGACCTGGTGGCTTGCTTTCTCACTTTCTCTCTCTCTCTCTCTCTCTGTATTTCTCTCTGGTCAAATTAAAATAAATGAATGAATAAAATTAAATAATTCTTTAAAATATTCATTTTTATAATAGACAAATTTTTACCTTATGTAATAACTTTTATATTTCAAAATATGCTAATTATATATACTAAGAAAATTTAATTTTCATGAATCTTTTCTTCTGATAATTAAAATATTCCTGAATTTGTTTATCAGTGTTTACTTCAGGCTAGATATGTTTTATGAATTGCACATTATAAAATGGACCTCACTAATGATTATGTAATCATTATTCCATATTCATTGGTACATTTTAAGAAAATTAGATGAATAAACACACATTAGGCCATATGTCAGCTATGTGGAATTAATTATTGTTTTAATTTCCAGGGAAATACCCCCATATCTTTATATGATTTTTTGCACTAGAGATTTTTTTTTTATAGTTTTATGTCTGTACCTTTTATAACACATTTAACATTTGTACACTCTTAACTGGTTTTAACAAATCGTTAAGAGCAGTTTGTATGACTGTTACAGAATATTTTAATAATGTTATGTATTTAGTATACAGAAAGTATTGAGTTGTTAGGAAAGTAATGATGCATTTTTGCATAGAAAAGTGCATCTTGACTTTCTCGACAACCTAATATAATGAATTACTGTTTTAAATTATTATGTATTGTTAATACAATGTGTTTTCTAAAATAACTTATGAAAATAGCATTTGTGTATGCTTTACAAAATGTGTTTGTTTTTCAGTGTTTCACAGGAAAAAAGTGGTTTATCTTTTAATGGCATATATTCTAAAAAATTGAACTATGAAAGAAGCTGTTTTCCCTCAAAATGGCTAGTCATGTGAGCCATAATATTCATTGATAGTAAAATCAATAGAGCATCGATTTTAAGCTTAATCCTTGGAGTCTGATGTTTAGAGTTGCAGACATAGCCTAGTAAATAAAATACCTAGTTGTGTTTAATGTGTTCAGTGTATGAGGTTTTGCTATCTCAAATTTGATTGTACACTAAATACAATTTGTATGTAGGGTAGAAAATAGTAGCTATTAACAGATACATAGCATTTTCAGCAATCATAGTGATATAATATTTGAAATGAGAGTCTTAGGTATGAGTTCAACTGTGGTTTTCTCTACTATACTGCTCATGATAAACAAATTTAATACTTACTAATCCTGTTATGGAATTTTCTCCACTTTTTTCAATGCCCCATCTTAATAACCATACTTTTTATGTCAGATTACTTCATGAGAAAGATTTACTGAAAATAATGATTGTAATATTCACCTTTTTTTCCTCAACAGGTCTAAAGTTGGAATATAGATTTAGAATAAACGTAGGGTAGGACTTAACATTTATTCCTCAACATTAATATTCATTTGAATATTGTAACCTTGTGCTACATCTGTTGAATCCCTTTTACCTATCTGTTTAACTTAAAATGACCTAGATTCTAACATAAGTTTTTGAGCACAGAAATGATAGGTTTTTTTTTATGAACTCATTTTATTATATCTCAATGTTAATGGATAAGAATTATGGTAAATATTGAAAAGAAGAATATTTAACATGAAATTGCCCAACTACCACATAACCATATTTTAATTTATAGACTCTGTATATTATACAATTTGCCTTTTAAGAGTTTAATACTTACTAATATTTACTTTCAATGTTGGTTATTCTGACCTGATAGTATTATTAATAACCCAAGTTGATCTAAATTCAGGTTTTCTAAATTCACTAATAAAATGTATTTTGCATTTATAACCAGTGCTTTTCGACTGAAAAAGAAGTTGCCTGTAATAAATCCTCTGCTTCATTTTTTTTAAGCATATCTCCAAGGTATCAATTTAATAACTATCAAAGTAGCTACTGCAGTTGTTGCATTTAAATTGATTTACATGTCAAGACTGGCAGTTTAGCAGCTGCGCTATTATTCCTAGATCGGTCAATTTACTTGAGAAAAACCTACTACTGAGTTCTACTGACCTGCCTGACAATATAGGCCCTATTTCTATTCCTGTAATTAGGCCCGCAACTAACTCAGAATATTTTTAATTAAAATATTTTGGTCAATGTGTTGCACCAAATTAGGCCTTTGAGTGAAGATTTAATTCTGGAAATAGTGTGATTAGAATATTTAATGAGTTGTGTTCAAGTAAGATTAACAGGTTATGTGTATTGAACACACAGTGTTTTTGTGTGACCATTTTGAGTTTTACAATTATAAACCTTATTTTTAACCTTAAAAATATTTGCCTCAGTAACTGACTGACACATTTATTTAAATTCAACTGGAATTTTATTTTAAAGTAACTTTTTTAACCTTGCAGTAACTAGAAAGCTGACTTAAAATGCATTACTAGGAAAGCTTTTGCTTGTTAATGTTCTTTCCTTCCAGCAAAAGCCAAAAATGAGGGGTTTGCCACTTAAATGTTTACAAATAAACAGTCTTACTGAGAAATCTGACATAAACATGGTTTGTTTCCACATCTTTTTCTAAGTTAAGAGTTTTATTTTTTGATGGAATGGTGAGGCAAAACAAAATTGAAAGGTGCAAATGTTATAGGCTTTTACCTCTTTAAAAAGCTTTAATAAAATAAAGTACATAAATATTTCATCCTTGAACCACCATAGTATGGAGGTAGAAATAAAAGTACTGACTACAAAATAAATCCTAAATTTGATTCAATTAATACATAATTCATGGTAGCAAGTAGCTCTTATCTTGGTTTTTCTGCTATTGAACTCCTTTTGTTGCCAACTTCTGCGGTGGGGTCTTTACTACAGACTGTAGTAGACAAGTAGACTCAGTACAGCAACTTCAGTTTAGATGTCACGGCAGGAGTCACCACATTGCATGAAGTAATATATTGTGGTACCCATAATATGTTACCATGTGTCTTTTTAAAGATTGTCAGTGAGGGGAGCTACATGCAATGCATCCGTTTAACTAGACATTGTAATACTGGTGATCTACATAAATGCTATGTATTTTGGAGAAGTTCTTTTCTTTTTCTTCTTTTTAAACAGAGATACAAATGAAGTTTTTTGTTTTTGTTTTAAGCTCCCCATGAAAAACTGTTATATTTGCTACTGTAGGTATGATGATATTCTGATCAATGGACTTCCAGATTGGCGACAGCCTGTATTCTACTACAGGCGGGTGAGAAAAATGAGCAATGCTGAGCTGGCATTACTTTTGTTCATTATTCTCACAGTGGGTCATTATGCTGTGGTTTGGTCAATCTACCTGGAAAAACAACTGGTAAGTTATAGTAATAAATCAAATGGCCTACCCTCCTTAATTTTAGATGGAATTTGAAACATTTATTTTTAACTGGTTAAAATTTTCATTTTTCTCTCATTCCAGTAGTTTTTTATTTAATCCTTGGTGGTTGACGTATTTCTCAGTTAAGAAAAACTCGTGAAATAAATAGAATTTTTTTTTTAATTTGGTCCTTGAGTTTGTTATAAAACTCATGAAGGATCGAATATCAAGCTGAAAATTATTAGAAGAGAGAGCTATGTTTTCTTAATTATTACCTTCCCAATAGAAATATGTTGATAAAAGACTGACTTTAGAATTTTTTGTGTGTTATAGACCCCTAGGTAATGAATGCTTACTTTAAAAGGATTTTAACTAAATAAGATTTTAAATGAATATAATTTTTTAACTTTGAGATCAGTTGATTAAAAATTTATCACACTTTTCCTGGTCTAATATGCAACTATATAGTTTATTCTGCTATGGATTTTTATTTATAAATGATAAAGATAATCAAACATATTTATCAGTATTCATGAATTAGCATCTGTTTACTCATTCCTTTTGAAGTGACATTATTAAAGTTGGATGAATGAGAAAAAGTAAGTTGAATGCTTTCTCTTAGAAAACTTTGATTGCTATGGAGATGCACATGACTGACAGTGCTGAACTTCATGTGTGTTTAAGGCCTGGATACCATGGCAACAGTTATTGTGAAAGATTGATGATTTTACTTAATCATGTTGGACCCTACATACATTTGCATAAATGTTCCTCCGTAATGTTTATCTGTCACAGAAGAGTCTTGATAACATTCAAAGAGTGCATGTTAATGATAACCTGTAACCATCTTTCCACATTAAGGATGAACTGCTCGGTAGAAAAAGGAGAGAAAAGAAAAAAAAGACAGGCAGCAAAAGTATGGATGTATCAAAACTTGATGCTTCAGAGAAGAATGAAAGGTGGGGCATATAAAATATTTTATTATTTTGAAACTATCTACTGATATATATCCCGTAGACACGGTCGTTTACATCTGCAGGAGGTTTATAAAGACTAATCATGTACCATAGTTTATGAGACATATTCTAATCTTAAGCAAAATTTCTACAAGCACTTTCCCCTTATAAAATGTTAACATATATTTAAATAGTCTAAACTTCCAAATTCTTGTAGGTTGAAATTTTTATACTGCACTTTAGAAATAAAGTTATTACTAGAAGAACCTAACACTTAGCCCAGGAGAGAGAGACAATGATATGCAGTACACTCAAAAAGATACCACCATTTTTTCTATTGATTGATAGAAAGAAATAAAGGGTTTAAATAGTTCACACAGCAGGGTATGAACTGGATCAATGTGGGATGGAGATCAGAGTCTATTCTGCCTGTCTTCTATTCTGATGACATCAGTAAGTAATGCTTCAGTGAACTGCAAATGACATTAATTTTTATGTATTGGTTTGTTTATGCTACAGTCTTCATATCTGGTTGTCAGCACTTGGGAACACTGACTAGGGTTAGTAGTCATCTCTTGCTGAAGTACTCATAAGGTTTAAGAATTCATCTTGAAGTGATAAAAAGCCCAGGTTAGAAAGAGGGCTTTTGTTTCCTTATCTGTATAACTTGATTAGGAGTCTCCTCCAAAATCTTAGCCAAGATTATCTTATTTGCTATATGTTTTGCATTTGTTGTAATTGCTGTACTTCATGATAAAGTAAATGAGATTAAGTAATATCATCACAAGTATTTTATTAAATACTTCATTTTTCTTGAAATAGCCATTTATGAAAGAATTCATGCTCTTTATAAAAATATTTTGTCTCTTAACTTCCTTTATTTTCTCTGTATTTCTGACATTTCTATATATAATCTATTGTTTGGATTTTTTTTTCCCTTGCCCTTTTTAGATTGGTCATGAAACCACAGTGGCATGACTTGCTTCCATGCAAGCTGGGAATTTGGTTTTGCCTTACACTAAAAGCATTGCCTCATCTAATCCAGGTAAAATGTACCTCTTTCACATAATATTAGATACTTTAATGCTTAATTATTCGTTAAATAATTTGTGCATGTCTGTTATCTGAATGTTGATATACAATGGATGCTTTATTTTTTTTCTATTTTTTTATTTTAAATTTATTTATTTATACTTATTTGCTGTACATCACTACAGTATACAAAATGAGATTTTCCATCCAGAATACACTGTGTATTGGCTGAATCAGGGATATTACCATATGTGTTATCATCAACAAATAATTTTCCATTTCTCGTTTCTTATATATTTTGTCTTTTTTTTCACCTTGATTCCCTACCTCTTAACCTCTGCCATTTCCCACCTTCCTCCCACACTGTCTCTGATATCTACAGTTGCTCTCCATGGCTTCCCCCCACACACACACACATTTTATTCATTCACTAAAGATTCACTAATCTAAATACTTTCAATAGCAAGCACAGCTGATATGTGCATATCTATGAACACATGTCTGACTCTAGGCATAAACCTCAGTGAGTAAAATGAACATACTATAAAGTAGTACCTAGATGGGGCTATATAGCATTCTGTAGTCATTAAATTGGTATTTTTTAATGCATTATTTAATTTCAAGAAAAACAGTTTTAGTTTTAATAGATCAAAATTTAAAAATATTAAGAGAAATTTGCTTAAGCCTTAAAGTCAGGAAAAAGGTTAGGATTCAGTTTTAACAGTAAGTAGATGAAACTGTCAACAGTCCAAGAGAAGATAAAAATCTTTTAATCTGGAAAATAAAGCATAGAAAAAAAACAGTAATGTTTTAGTTCAAAAGTCATAAAAGTTTTAAAGTGGATTTTTTATAATGTTAATGGAATTGAATAGTATTTTTAAAACTTAAACCTAATAGTTCTAAGATTATTTAGGTATTTATTCCTGTAATTTATCTCTTATATTGCTTTTAGAACATCTTAAAATTCCAAGACACTGGAAAAGGGGGGGGGGGAGACAATCTTTAGAGCAGATATAAATGTTGTAAAATTTTAATCTGCTGTTATCATTAAAGATACAACCAGTAAAAAGGAACAGAACTCAAGAAACTTGTCACCCAGAATTTTAATAGCATCTAAGTACATAATATTAAAACTAATCAAAGCAAAAAACCTTTGCATCTGTATAATTAGGCAAAAAGTATATATTTCCATCTTATTGGTAGCCTTCAGAGGAGTTTAAGACATTATGTCTTATACTGGCATTCAAAAGTTTTTTAGTCTTTTGATTGAACAATAAAATGTAGGTGCATATTTATCTAGTGATTTATCTGGCAGTTTCTCCTTTGCTAATTTAAATGATTATATCTTGTTAGAAAAATCCCAACACATAAATGTAACATTTGAAAGTAAATGTAATAATTTTTGGTATACAATTTTGAGGTAAGATTCTTAGCAATTGTAATTTTGGGGATAAATGTTTTATTTTAGAAAATAATTGTTTGGAAGCTTAGAGAGCCAGATAATTTCTTCCCACTTTATATTCATATATCAGAGCTGTTTTTCTAATTATTTTAAAGAAGCTAATGACTTTATTAGTCTGTATTTTATTTTTCCTTTTATTTAAAATTTCATAGTTGAGGGAAAATGAACTAAAAATTCCTAGTACACTTCTTTCTAGCCTATGGAAAATTATTTACCAGTTTTTCCATCAAAGTAGCTGATTTTAATAGCTGTTGCTTACAGAACCTTCTTTTGTTCACAGTTAATAGAGAAAAATTTCAGTATTTTGGTTAATACACAGGGTTTTTTTGCATTAATATAATATGCTGCTTATTAAAATAAAAAACCATAGTGCTTATATGTTATGTTCGTGAGACAGGAAGGAGGACAAAATATATTGATCAAATTGGTATGTTTACAAGGAGATGTGACAGAAAAATATTTTAGGGGAGATTTTCTTATGTTTTTTAGGTTTGATTATTATTATTTTTTTTTGCTCAGCTTTAGAATCTAGGCAGTAGGCAAACTAGAGTATGGAATAAATAGATGTTTTTAAAAGTTTTTTTAAAAATAATTTTATTTAACTTTTATTTATTTATTTACTTATTTTAATTTGACCAGAGGGACAGAGTGAGAGAGAGAAAGTGAGAAGCCACCAGGCCTGGGACTCAAACCACAGTTGGCCATATGGGACCCCAGTGCCCTCAACCACCATGCCACCTACCGGCCCCACAAGTTCTTTTTTGGAGTCAAGTTAGACTCTTGTAAAGCAGTGTAATTGTTTCATTGCATCAAATAGTAATCTTAAACACTTACTTGTTGTTTTAGCTAAGTAATATGAAATAAAGTTTATTTGGTAAAATTAACATAATTCTTGGTTAGCATGCAGATTAGTTTGCCAAACTAAAACCAATATATTATGAAGGCTTAGAGTAATAATTTAATATTTTAAATGATCTGCCCATGGTGTCTAGACCCAACAGATTAAATTATTGTTTCACCTTATCATTAATTTGTAGGAAATATACAAAAATCAGGAATTTTACAAAACTTTTTAAAATTTCTTTAAAAACTTTGCTTTCTGAAGCCAGTCAACTTCAGTTTTGAAGTTTTTACTTACGTGATGGTACCTGTTGCTTTTCAGCTTTGAAATGGTAGACATTAAGCTTCTAAGACATTTTTAAATCTAACTTTTCAATTTTGTTCTAATTACCTCTTCCTAGTAAATGCATTCCAACGAAAAAATAAAGAAAATGTTTGTCTTTAAGCAAATACTTGATATTTTAATTCTGTTTTGGGTACTTAAGATTAATTTTTCTGGTGTTCACTGACTAAATAAGGTAATACAGTAAACTGACTCAAATTGTCAGAAAGTATTTTAGGTTAATAATAAACATACAGTTTATGAAACACATCAGCAAAGCATTATTCAACATTGCTGTTAGAGGTAAGTTTTGTCTGCCCCTTTTTTTCGGTCTGCTGTGACCTTTGTATAAATGTAGCATCCATAGAATTATATAATGTAAATTCATGTGCCTTATCTACAACACTGAAATTTTTATGTAACACTTCTCTAAGACCTTCTTAAATGAATTTTAGAATTAAGAAGATGTGCTTTTAACATGAAGCAATCTGGATTGGTAATTGGTACAGTAGCCAAAAAAGCACCCTTCTAAAGCCCTAAGCATAAAAAAATTACATATATGATCTTAAACTTCCTAAACATGCACTTTATATTGATTCATCTCTGTTACAATACAGAGCTGTTGTTGTATTTTTAAATAGAAGTCCACTGATTGGAGTTCCTTGTCATCTTGGTTGTATAAACCATATTTATAATCTTGGTTTCTACATAAGACAGATTTCCAGTCTAGATTTCTTTTTAAAAAGAGTCAGACTAGCCAGCCACACTGGCACAGCAACAACACTGCTCCATGATGTTGCAGCTACATGGGAAGGTCCTGGGTCTGCACCCCAAGGTCTCCCTGTGTGTGCCAGGTGTGCATGTGCCCCTGATTCCGGCTGGCAGAGCTGTGGGAAAATTGCGATGTAGGACCTTTTTGGGAACACACCTCTATCTCTGTGTGTTTTTCTCTCGTGGAATATATGGACTTTTTTAAGTGTTTTTTTGTTTGTTTATTTTTTAGGAGTCAAATTAGACTCTTATAAAAACAGTATAACTGTATAACCATCATAGATTTTCATAACTTTCCCCTCGTCTTTCATATTTGTCTTACATCTAGATAACAGCATTTTTAGCTGCTCTACTATGGAACTTTCCAAAGGATTCAACATGATTTTCATAGAGATAACTCTGGGCCAACCAGTGGCGTCGTGGTTAGGTATCTGCATCCCACATGACTATGTAGTTCAAGCCCTGGACCTGGCTTTAGAAGCATGCAGAGCACGTGTGCATGCCTAAAATCCTGAAAGGAGGGAGAAGTAGAGGAGAAGGGATTGCAGCTTAACCATTCCTCATGGGGGTGGTCACTTTCTTACAGTCTCACATGCTCTTTCTTTCTCTCCATCTCTCTCTGTATCTCTCCCTCTATCCCATCTGGTGAGCACACACTCCTTGTAGCAAAATTTACAAAGAAAATAAACAACTCTCCTTTCCCCCTCACATTTCATGTTATTTACACAATATTTCATTGAATCATGTAATTGCAATAACAAGTATAACTGACACTAACAGGTTTAAGAGCTAACACAGCCAGCTCCTTTAAGCATATAGCAAATTAGTGAAGCAGATATCAGTTAAAAGAGTTTTATTTCTGGTGGGAACCCCTTCAGTTTCATGACAAGTTAATTGAAATTGAGCTGTAAGTACTCAGTGTAAGTGTGTAGCTAGTGGATAAGAAGCAGAGTCCAAGCTAGGAGTCAGGGATTCAGAGGCTTCTAGCTGGTGTCTTCAGGCTGGCAGAATCTGAACCCCAATCTTGTCATAGCAGCAGTTCTCTCTTTTAAAAAAAAAAAAAAAAAGAGCAATTTTTCCTATAGGGTGTACGTGTTCCCCAGAGAGACAGAGAAAGAGAGACAAAGTGAGAAGTCACCTGCCAGGGGGTATAACCATGCCACAATCCCTTCTCTTCTATTCTCCTCTTGTGATTTTGGGCTTCTATGCACAAGCGCCTGGCATGAGTTTTAAGCCACTGGGTCCAGGACTCAAACTGTGGTCAACCACGTAGGAGTCCAGCAACATAACCATTATGCCATCTGCTGGTCCCATAGCAACAGTTTTTTACCCCCAACTTCCTTCCCATTCATCCTCTAAAAACCTATTCCTTTACTACTTCAGTACATAGAAGGTTACCCAGTAGAGTTGGGAAAAGTAGCAATCTGGTCCAACTTATACTTCCAAGTTCACTTTTATTTATTTATTTTGAAAAGGTTTTTTTTGTTTTTGTTTTTGTTTTTGTTTTTTTAACTCATGACAGAGCGCAGCTGTACATATGTGAGAGTGGGAGAGAAAGAGTGGAGCACCCTGCACAGGGTTTGGTTGTGTCACAGTCCCCCTCCTCCAGTCTTCTGTC